CTGAGGAAAATCAAGGCACGGAAAGGCAAATAAATCTCCCTCCCATTTTAGCACATGTATTAATAAAGGTGAATAGAATAAACTTTTCCTTGTTTATTTGCCCGAATATTTGACTTGTTTGTTGGGTGCTGAACAAAAGGAGACCTCCAGTGGTCTAGTGTATAGGGTCAGCTTCATTGACCCTAGTCAAAGGCTGCTGTGGGCTGTGCCTTCTTGAAATTAAAGGACATTTCTCACCCCAAAGACCTGTTTAATGAGAGTAGAGGAATCCTCAGACTGTGTGAAGATCGAGACTTACCAGTATTAACTGGAGAGGCTCACAAAGTTAAACTGAGGTTGTACATGGACTTTCAGTGGTCTGAAGTATTTCAATTTATGTGCCTCATTTTAAGTCATATATATACTTCCATATTATGATCTTGTGGGTTTTGATTTTTAAAATTCATTGGAGATTAACATTTCCTGTGAGCTCTGATGTGCTCAACATTTCAGTGACTTTTACAATAGTAAAGGTTACAGGAAATAATGATTGTGTTTTCTCCAGCATGAGTTAGTCTTTTTATTGGGAGTATTTTTAAAAAGCTATTTTAAGTATAACTTAACTGCCTATGAGCCCCAGATCAAAACTCGGTCCTGAGGATCTTCTCTGACTTGTGTCTACTTTTCTCAGCATGTTTTTCAAGTACTGGACCCTCCAGAGGTAGAGATACATTATCATTGCCTCTGAGGAGTAACTTGGTTGCACTTTATCCAAGACAGGTTTGTTGGGTTAAAAATGTCTTCTCCAAAACTGTCCTTGAACTGTTTTTATTCTTTAAATCTGATATAAATTTTGTCTTTTCTTGATCTCCCTATTAGATGTACGTCTTTTGGGAAAGGAGATTTTCTCCTACTATGCCTATAGGCATATTGTTTTCACCAGTACATAGACAGCTGTTAGTTTGGTGCTAGAAATTCAGGCTGGGTTTAGAAGCAGTTGTGTCACCAATGCCGATGTCAGATTTTAGCAGAAAGAGAAGATTAGAAAAATGTCTTGACCAAATATACTTGTGTGGGTTGTAATAAATGAAGGCTAACATTGAGAAGAATGGGAGTTCCAGAAGATTTAATTACGGTCATAAGAAACCTATGCCTAGATCAAGTTTGAACAGTAGAACACTGTGGTTTATAATTTAGAAACAAGTTTGTTAGGGTTGTGTACTTTATCTATGCCTAGTCTATGCTGAGCAGATCATTTGAGAAGCCAAATTCTGAAAACTCTGGTATTGGGACAGGAGAAAGTCAACAATCTGTATTACATAGATACTAAAACATGAAGAAAATAATCTTCATTGGACTGATTTGCAACATCATAGATGGGGGAAAAAAGATTGAAGTCAACAATTGCATCCTCCTGGAATCCACAATCAGTACCTTGGACACCAGCAGGCAAGAAATAAAACCTGTTGCAAAAGTACTAAGGAACAATAATACCTAAGTGTTTGTCAGGCCATGGCCTACTTCTATGTATTTGAGAGCTGGACAGTGAATAAGGATGTCAATTGATAGCTTTTGAGATCTGTTGAAGTGTACTGTGAAAAGAACAAACATGCCTTGGAGAAAGTGCTGCCAGAGTGCTTTTTGGAGGCAAGGATGGCTAAGCCTAACACATACTGTGTTCCATTGGAAAGGGCATAGTAGCAAAGAGTTGTGCCAACCTAAAGGACAGTTTGAATCCAATACCTCTGTGGGAGAAAGAAGGACATTAGAAAATCAGGTTATTTCTGAATTGATTGCATTCCGCATGCTTGAACAGGGCTCTAGTGGCCTAGTTGTAAGGTATGCAGTTCTAATTCACCAGCTGCTCTGCTGAAAGATGGGGAGTCTCCAGTGCATATTTAACAGCTGCTTAATACTCGGTCAGCTATGAGTATCTTTCAATTCTGCCCCACAACAGTTTGAAAAGTGCCTGACATTACATGAAGATACACTAAATTACTTTCTGGAAGCTTGAGATCCCATCATATTTAATGTTAATGGGAGCCCTATCAATCTAACCCCTTAAAATACAGACTAGAAAAATCAGCTTAAGAGGAGCAGGAAGGGAAATGTACAACAATGAATGGCAATCGAACTCTAAAAAAGACTAGTGACATACGTCACCATGATTTGAAGCCAATTCTTTGGCCCTTGTCAGGCACAGTAAACCAACACATGGAACTTTGTCCTTGCTGTCCAATGTGCTTTATAAATCTATCTTGCCTTCTACCTCCAATCCATCCATGAAACCAGTGGATTCTCTCTTCTGTACTGTCACAACCTTTGTTCATTATTTAGTTTATCCTGAGTATGAACATTGGCCTCCAGCTTGATTTTAATTCTCTGTGGCCCTTATTTCCCTTTTTTTCAAATTTTTAAACAAACCAAATTCGGTCACTTTGCTCAAAACCCATTAGTGGCTTTGTTATATTCCTAACAATGTGGTGAAGAAACAGACTGTTGACCGCTTCCATTTGCTTGGCTATACAGTCAACACTCTTGGTACCATCAGTCAGGAAATTAAAAGACGAATTACATTGGGGAAATCTGCTCTCAGAGACCTCTCCAAAGTACCAAAGAGCAATGATGTCAGTTTGGAAACTGTAACGTGCACCTGATAATGCCATGGTCTCTGCAATTACTTTGTATGTGTCAGAACACTGGACAATGACTATAGATGAAAGAAGTATTGATGCCATTGAGTTATGGTGCTGGAGAAGAGTATTGAGTGTATCATGGACTGCTAAGAGAACAAGTTTGTCTTGGAGAGAATGAAGCTAGTCTGCTCCTTGGAGGCAAGAATTCTGAAGCTTTGTCTGACATACTTTGGACATATTGCAAGGCGGGATCGGTCCTTGGAGAGGGCCATCATGCTTGGGAGGGTGGAAGGACAGCGCAGGAGAGGAAGACCCTCAATGAGATGGATTGATTCAGTGAGTGGGATAATATGGATCAGGGTGTCAGAGACAGTAAGATTGGCAAGGGATAGAGCAGGGTTCAGGACTGTTGAACATAGGGTCACTATGAGTCACAGGCGACTTGACAGCACATATTCTCATAGGAAAAAACATGGAACATAACAGCAAAAATCCTCTTCCCACCCTGACCATTAATTAGTGTCCACTTCTGAAGTGATTACTGTTACAACGGTAAAATATATACTTCTTTTCATGTATGATTCTCAAATTTCCCCCATACCAGCAGCAGCATCACCTGAGAACTTACTAGAAGTGTAAATTCTTTGAAACATTGTGCCCAACTCTGTGTAAACACCACCCAAGGTGGTGGTGATTGCTGAACCTCTGGCCTAAGTCTACCAGCAACCCACACCCCAGGAAACTAGCATTCTCCTCTAATCTTTCAGTCTGGCTTCTTTTGTGCTTCCCCTCCCTCAAGCAGCATGTCCCACCTACCTTCTCTCCCACGGAAGTGGACACTCCCCGATATGGCTCAGGCCTTTTTCCTCGCCACTTTCATCTTTAAAGTTCATTCTAAGCACATAGAAACGCTGCTTTAACAAGCGTGGTAGAGCAGGTCAAGGACGGGAGGATGGACAGCATTAGAAGGGGAGCGGGTGGGAGCGGTCATGCCCCGCAAGCTCAGGGCTCCGAGGCCTTGTCCACTGGCTCCACAGCCTCCTCAATGCAATCACCGGCTTCAGGTTCAGCTCCCTCCGCGTCCTGGAAACGCAGCAGATGAGGTGTGCGAGGGGCTCCTCGTGGGCGGCCGAAGGTCCGGAGGCTGATGGCCGGAGAGGGCACTCCAGTGCCCAGAAAGCGGCTGAGCAGCGGAGTCTGCACGCTGGGGCTCCGGGCAGACCTTGGGGATGCTTCCACCTGCAAGTTCTGCTCTGGGTCATCGCTCATCCTGTGGACGGCAGGGCCAACTCAACTGGGGGCGGGGGGAGTCATCGGATCCCTAGAAAGTGAGCAGGGACCAGAGGCGGGCAGACTGGGGACGGTCAGTCAGCCTTGAACTTGGCCAACTCTGGCCACTCACCGCAAGTTGAAAGTGGAGCCTAGAAAAGAAGGCCGCAGCGTCTCAGCTGCTGTGGCTACAGTGTAGGGTGGCTGGGCTAAGCCCTCGCCCCAGTATGGATCCTTCTCAGCAGGAGGCAGATTCTGGTACATGTCATCGACAGATAGCAGGGATACCTAGTCCAGGAGAGGAACAGGCAGCAGGTCACCAGCAGGACTTCCACCATCCTTTCCAACCCCCTCTGGAAACTGACAGGGATGGAGAATACACCTGTAGATTACGGTCTATGAGCTGGTTGGTCTCAAAGTCATCATCATCCTCTCCAAAAGGGTTGATGATCTGTTCAGCCACCTGCAAGTTGTAGAGACCATGTTTTCTGGGCTCTGAGGCCCGTTTTCTGTTCCCAAGTTTAGAGTGGATCCTGGGCCCAAACGCAGCCTGGCACTAAACAAGTACCAGCCCTAGTGTAACATACTATTCCACTGTGACTGGCTTAATATCCCCTCAAACAGCCAAGTAACAGCCCCTCTCTTCCCAACCACAGTGCCTGTTGTATATACCCTGGGTGGTGTGTGAGGTACTGAGACAAAAGTGCCCACCTTGAGCCAGCCAGCATAGAAGAAAAACTGCAGCAGGGTGGTGAGGGGCACGTACATGTCCAGGTCTCCCAGGACTGGCACCGGCTCTTGGGCAGTCCCTTTCTCTGGCTCCACAAACTGGCGACCAACCAGAGAGAGAGCAAAGAAGGAATATACAGCTATGGTGACCACCTGGGGAGGGAGAAATCAGGGAGGCCATGGTGCTGAGGAACAAGGAGAAATATTGTTCCTGCCTCTGTGAACCTGTGGGAGAGTCTGACAAGAAACTAAATTATGTCACAAGGGGTGGCAACACCAGGGGGGAAGGTCATACTGGTGGAAATGGAGGGTAGTTTTAAGGATAAGTGGTTAGTTGGTGTCTCACTGGATTGAACTGCCCCAGAGTAGAACATGTCTAATTTGTCTCAGTAACTCATAAACAACACAATATATAGCAAGAAGGTGATGGGGCTGAGGAGAGAGGCAATTACTTGAGTATAGACGAGGGGAATGCTGATCCAGTCGTAGTGGAACAGCAGGCTGCACTTGGCACGGTACTTGTTCAGCTCCTGGTGGAACAGTGGGAAGAGGAAGCAGAGGTGACAGTGGGAAGAGGAAGCAGAGGTGAGCAAGGTGGAACTTGGAGGGTCGATGGGAGCTCAGCACAAAGCAGGTTTGAGTTAGGCACAGAGGGTCATTCTGCTCTCAGCTGCATTTTCAGGCTCAGGTGCCTGTAATGAGGAACAATTTAGCAAACATTTTGAGCCAGAATAGCTGAATATGAATCTCCTAAATCCACTAATTGCTGTATGACTTGGACAAGCTTCTTAATCTATGAAAAACCAAAAGCTAAATGAAACTTTGTCTCATATTGGTCAGGTTAGGAGGGACTAGTCCTTGGGAAAATATATCATTACTGAAAAGGTGGAAAGTCAGCGAAAGAGAAAGATCCCCAAGTCTCACTGACACAGTAATTTTAACAATGGGCTCAAGTATGTCATAGATGACGAGGATGTCACAAGACAGGGCCGGGTTCAGATCCTTAGTTCGTAGAGTCACTATGTGTCCTAGTCGACTAAATAGCGCCTAACAACTAAATCAAAACAACAACAAAACACAAAAAAATCCTTGAAAGGAAAGAATAATAGTATCCATCTCAGGAATCTATTGTTTATAGGGTTGCTAGAAGTCATAGTCGATTCGATGGCACCTGAGAACTATTAATAACAACAGCTCAAGAGCTGTTGTGAAATTTAAAGGAATTAATGCTAGTACAATGAATGCCCCTTACACAGTTGACATTCAGCTAAGTGTTAGCTAGTACATTTCTAACTCCAGCTGTCAAAGTGGAGGGAGGAGGGCAGATGGGCCTGGTCTGAGGATGACTCACTTCCAGAAGTAGGCAAAGAGAGATGTCATCACGGATTCTCCCGTCCCTCCGCGCCTGTGCAGCCAGGTTGGTGAACCAGACGCAGGGAACCCAGTATTTGTTGAAGTCAGATTTCAGGCTCTCGAACTTTCTTCTTTCTTCCTGGGACATAAAACCTATGGGAGTAAATAATAGTTGAGGCAAAGATTTTCATTTCTTCTGTGAAAGGTTGGTAGACTGCTGTTTGCTATTCTCGTTGCACTGGAGCGCCCCCTGGGGGTCAACCCTCTCCTCCCCAAGAGGCCCACGGGCCAAGTCCAGGGCCAAGTTGGCCCACTGCAGGGTTGACCTCTGAAGCACCTGAAGCCTGCCCGCGCACCTGCGTCCACCACGTGGTCCATGGTGGGAAAGCGCTTGAGCACACGAGTGCTGACTGAGCGCAGCACCAACACCGACGCCAGATTGGCATAGCGGATGAGAGTGCGCCGCAGCAGACGGCCGCGCTGGTCCACCCCGTGCACGCTGGCTGAGATGACGCACATCAGCTGGTCTGGCAGAGGAATGCTCGTGTACTGGGCCCACCAGCGGTTCACCACCAGAGTCACATAGAAACCTAGTGGGCCGCCATGGGTAGTGGGGGACAAGGAAAAGAGGAAGGGGGGCTTGAGAGTCAGCAAGCTTCGCCTCCGGCCAGAAAGCCTTGTCAAAGCCAGGTAGAACTATGAGAAGGAGAGTTCACATTGGTTGCCAGGGGGACAGCCTCTTTCTCTGGTCCACCTGCTAGGCCAGTGCAAGAAGATGGAGGAGATGGAGGACAGCCAACTTTCTCAGGTAAAAGGGGAAGTGGTGGCAGGGTAATGGTTAACTCTGAAATCTGCTTCCCACAAAAGCACCAAGGGAAGTATTGCCTCTCAGCTCCTCAGGAAAGGGTTGTGAGGCCAGCATGTGCTGTGTGCCTTCTGTGGACAAAAGATTGCAGAAATCCTGAGCCTAGTACTCAGCCCCTGGGCCCCCTGTGCCTGTTCTAACTGACGTCCAGGATGTGCTACTGGGGCAATTCTGACCCTCCGCACTGCCAACCCAACCCAAAGGTTGGCAAGGATGATATAGACAGAATGGAGAGAGGCCCTTACCCAGCACGAAGGACAAGGGGATGAGGTCTGCAGAGCGGTTGCAGTACTGAGCCACCAGCGCATACACATGCCTCTGCTCCTGGGTCAGCAGCAGCCTAAGAAGGGTCAGGTGTGGGTTCGGGATGGGGGGAGATGGACAGCCTTACCTCTCCCAGGCCAGCCCTGAGACCTCACCCTCACCGATAGGTGATGCTGAGCAGAGCGTACAGGACAATGAAGAGTAGGAACTCCTTGTAGAGGAGCTTGTAGATGCTTCCCCTCCAGCGGAGAAGCAGGCCAGAGAAGCCACCAAAGCGAGCCTCTGCCACTTTGAGGGTGTATGAAACCGTCATGGTGCTGAGGGCCAGGGGTAGGAGGTCACAAGAGCTGCCCCATGGCTGTCCCCTTATAAGCCTCTTCGCTTTTCCTTATCATGCCCACACTTGATTCCTCAATCCATCTCCCTTCAGCTTTGCTCAATCCACGCCAGGCATCACCTTGGGTTGGTTACAAGTGAACAGATGCTACAGAGGTGAGACATCTGCATCTTCCCTTGTCCTCTATTCAGTGATGCATCAAGCACAGATGAAGGTGAGCAAGCAGGAACTGAGATCCAGGCCCGCTCTCATACATAAGCCTTCTCAGGTTCCGTCTGCGCTCTCAGGACTATGAGTAACAGACCCTGAACCACAGAGGAAAAAGAGCCAACCCCAGCCCAGATCCTGACTATCCCTTCGGACCTTCTCAAAGCTGATTGACTGTTCTCTCAAGGCACCACCACCACTACCACCCCTACCTACCTGTTCTGAGCAGCAGCCTGTGCTGAAGAAAAGCTGGGCTAACTTTTACCCCCACAAGCTTAAGTACCTCCCGGACCCATAAAGTTAGGCTGGATGAAGGTATCACTCATTGATGGATTGAGATTTATCACCAGCTTCCCTAATCCTGGGAACAGGGTGTGTCTCTCTACCCCTTTAGGTTGGCCTTTGAGTGCTAGAACTGCCTTCTGCACTGACCCCACAGTTTCACAGACATCACGTCCTTGGGGCCAGAATGACAGAAATTACTGTCCCAGATGAGAGGGCAGGTGCATAAGAATCTTGTTAATAATAACTGGTTAACAACTGTTTAGAGCACTGACTGACAGGCCTTGTGCCAAGGGCATTATTGTGTCATTTTCTCAAGACATTCCAAGCACAATCTCATGAGGAAGGACTTCTCTCCACTTCACAGATGATGCTCCAAGTGGAAGATTACTTGCCCATAATCACACAGATCAGACATGTTGGAGACCAGGTTCAAAGGCTGAGCTGATGGACTTCAGAGGCTGAATTTAGCCAAACTGGACCTAGACAAGGCCTTAAGCTCCAAGACCAGGGTCCTGTGCACTGGCTACACTGCAGACTTCTAATTCAGGCATGGGGGATCCTGGCCAGGCCCCTTCCCACCCTTATGCCACAGGGCTGATGAGGTCCCAGATCTGGGGAAATGCAGAATATCCTCAACCCATGTCCAAAAGCCTGACTACAGGGGTCTCACATGGCCACTTTGAACTCTGTATCTCAATTTCTTCATTCGTCAAAGGAAAGAATACCAGAGTCACTGGAAGAATTAGGATTAAGAACCTCAAAGTGGAAAGAGAGCTAAGTAGCTCAATTACCCACTCAGTGTTGACATCTTTCTGGAAAAATCTAGGAGTGGTGGTTCTACTGTTGACCATTTTCTGAAAGCACCTTCTTGAGAGCTTGTTTGGAGGTTCTAGCAGGGGCGTGCAGTTACTCTCTGCAGTTACCCTTGACTGAAGGATGATCCTCCTTCTTCAGGGATAGTCATCCTCTTCAACCCAGCACACAGCTTCAGGAGGGATGTACATGGAGTGGTGAGAGAGAAAGGGGACATCTGTCTAGCCAGTCAGATCAGCTGAATCAACCTGGTGATCAATAGAGTGACAGATGCTGCAGCCAGATCCCCCCTCACGTCCTGTAAGCACCTTTTTGACATAGGAGACTTGTCCTAAGGTATTCCTAAGATCATGGTGTGACGGTTAGGAGTACAGGGAGTCAGACAAACCTGGGTTTAATTTCTATCTCTGCGGCCTTCTGCAAGCTCCCTCCTTACCGCTCTCTGAACCTCAGTTTCCTCACCTGCAAATAGATCAACAATGCCTACCTCACAGGGCATTCCAAAACAACAACAAAAGCAAACCTGTGGTTGCTGAGTTGATTCTGACTCACACAAACCTTACAGGACAGAACGGAGCTGTTCCTCTGGGTTGCTGCAGCTCCAAGTCTTCATGAGACATGACTGCCACATTTTTTCCTGGCAGAGTGACTGGTCGGTTAGAACCACTGACCTTCAAGTTTAGCATCGAGCATGCTTTAGACACTGCATCACCAGGGCTCCTTTGGCAAGCATTCAGTGTCATGAAAATCTGAATCTACTCTCCTATTTTGCTACCTACTTGACATTTCCCCTCAGAACAGCCCTTCAAAGATAAGGAGGCAGAGACTTTTTCACTCACATCCCATTCTTTATACCCAGGACAAACAGTGCTAGGTCCCAGTTTTGAAACAGGATGCTCTAAACCCACTTGCCACTGAATTGATGCTGATTCACAGGGAGCCTCCATCAGGGGAAGGGACGACTCATCTTTTCCCTGTGGATCACCTGGTGGATTCACACTGCTGATTTTTCAGCTAGTAGCCCACATTAGGACCACATTTGTTATTAAGTACTGTCACAATCACCATGGCTCCTCTGAAATCACCCTGGCTTCTCCCACACCCTGAACAGATCTCCTTTTGTGCCCTTTCTCCCCTCTCAGGTTCCTCCACTTACAACTCTTCCCTTCTTAACCCTCACCAGGCTCTGATTTAATGGATTTCTACTGAATCTTCAAGATTCCACTCCAACAGAGCTTCCTCCAGGATCATCCACAGTGTTAGGTTCTGAGACTGATGTAGAAAATGTCTGGGATTGGATGCCTCGGTGAGGAGTAGCAAGCTGCTTCCCTCTGGAGAAGATTGCCACAAATACACGAACACAAGTGAGGAAAGAAGTTTATGAAGAGGAAGGAAAAGTTTATTCTGAAGAAAGAAAAGTTTATTAAGCACAGTATGCTGTAATAGAATCAGACAGCGGGCCTCCCCAAGAGTGAGAAGGACAGTGGTCTAGGGGCCGAGTTCTGGTATTTATGGAGTCTTCTTCCCGTCCTGTCCTTCCAATCCATGGCTCTCTCTGATTGGTGGTAAAAGGCAACTCTTTCTTACGTGTTGATCACTGGTGTTCTCTGAAGGTTGCAATGCCATCAACTCAAAAAGTGGGAAGACAGAGCAAGAAGGGAGTCCACCCAAGGCCTCTGTAGTTGTCACTCTCCCCTAAGGTCAAGTTGTCCTAGTTCTGTTTTCCTGCTTCTTCCTGGGATCCTGATAGCCATATTCTCTTTGTTCCTTTGACCCTTCAAAGCCATCTAGCTTCTGCTCTTGGCTCTTATTTATCACATTGCTCTGTAATCCCTTCACTGAGAGATCTCTCCTTCAGCCTAATAGCCTCCCTCTGAGGCAGGCTTGGACCTGACGCTTCCGCTGGCCTAGTGATTAGTAGTTGTGCTGCCAACCCAAAGTCACGGGATTGGAAAGCACCACCTGCTCCATGAGATAAAGATAGACAAGCTCCTCCAGTGCAGTTTGTTGTTGTTATGGACATCAAGTCGGAACCAACTCACAGCTGACCTTCCAGTGTGTTTTCAGAGGCTGTAAATGGCTCAGCTGGGCCGTGCAACTCTTGAGCACCAGAGCCTCCTCTCCTGTGATTTACAGCCCCTGAAAACCCACTGGAGGGTCAACTATGAGTCAATCAATTCCAACTAGAGGGCATATGGCAACAGCCATCATTTCAGTAAAACTGGGGAAGTCTTGAAAACAATTGGTACTTTAGTTTTGGGTTTTTTTTAGGGGCTTCCTTTTACCCACAAAGACATCTGGTTTCATGCCCTCCATTTAGGAGAGGGCATGATTTCTAGGAAGAACAATGTCTGGAATGGAGTTACATTCTCCTTCCAGGCCCAAACACAATGTCAGTCTGAGGAAAGAGTAGTGCCCAATGTGCATCTTGAAGGTGTGAAAGGCCTGACCAGAGGAGAGAGATTCCAGCTGGGGCCTTGGCCATGCTAACTTTCATCTCCCTAAACTCTGGTCTGCAGCTTCCTCAGACCATTCTGAGCTATTTGGCCTTTGCTGTTGTTAGGTTCCAGTGTCCATCTCATCGAGAATCATCCTCTCTCTGACCCTCTGTCCTTGCATCAGGAGATATTTTTCAAGGACTTAGCACTCTGCATTTAACACTTTAAAACATTTAAATATTTAAAACATTTTTGTTTGTTTGTTTTTATACCCGAAAAGGCAAGCCCTGGGCCTGAGGGGAGCTCAAATCCTGTTGTCCTGGAATCTCCTAGGACAACACAGCTGGTTGCATTTTAATCCCTTGCCTGCCTGCAATCTATTACCTTTCTTTGTCCCAGTTACCAGCACCCTGGGTTTCTCACAGAACTGTGGATAAAGGTGCTTGGCCTCAGCCTCTCCCCAAGGAAGGGTCAGGCCCTGGCCCCCACCTGGTTCCTTCTTCCTGAGTTACCTTATCTTGATTCCCAGCTGCTCACCTGTCCTCCCCATTTATAGACCCTGAAAGGGAACAACTCAGCCTGTAAATCACCTTTGGGACAAAGGCTGTCTCCTCCCATTAAGATTTATGGCCTCAGAATATGGGATGGTCTGTGGTGGGTTTTGTTTATTCTTTAAGATCCTCCCTAAGCTCTGACCTCTCCTTTTATTTGTCCTGACTGTTGTTAACCTGAGAGTTAACAGCCTGGAGTCTGGAGCCAGACTCTCCAGATTCTTCAGTCCCACTCTGCCAATAGCTTTGTGGCCTTGGGCAGGTCATTTAACCTCTCTGTGCTTCATTTCCTCGTGGGAAAATGGGAATCTACCTGATAGACTTGTTGAGAATATTGAATGAGTTAATATTTATTAAGTGTGCTAGTATGGCACATAAATCAAAATGAGGTTCTAGCAGGTCAGCCCTGATCCATGGCAACCTTATGTATGTCCAAATAGAACTGTGCACCAATGAGATTTTTTATGAATAATTTTTTTTATTTATTAATTTTAATGAAAGTTTACAGAGACTTAGGATTTCCAGTCATTCATTGTACTTTTCTTCCTGCCCACCCCTCCCCCTAAATCACTCTTCTCCTTAAAAAGAAAAAGAAAAACTCTTCATTGTTCTGCAGTCCCTCCCCTCAAGTTCACTCCACTATGCAGCCTTCACTCTGGACTTCTATAATGAAAAGAATACC